AAGCAAATAATAGATGTTGGGCGAATCATTGTGGCCCTCTAGAAGGATTTCTAGAGGAAGGCTAGCTCTGAGGGGTGGGTGAAGGTCTGATGGATAGAGCTGACGTTTGGGGGTGTGCGGACAGAAGGAATCCCGGGCAGAGGGACCGGCACAAGCAAAGACCTGGATGCACGCAGAGAACAGGAATGATTTTGACCGACGCCAGCGGGTGGGATCCAGAGTGAGGACTCCCAGCATTGCTGTCAGAGCGCCCACTTCCCCGTGGGCACCTGGCTGAGGGAGCACCCAGCCAGCGCCGGAGCTCTGCTGATGGGCGGCGGCTGCCTGGCACGAGGGCTGTGGGGCCCGAGCTCCGTGGATGTCCTGGTCCAGAAGCCACGTCTGCCACGGGCACAGGAAGGGGGGGGTGTCCTGTACGTTGACGAGTTCTCGCTTCTGCCATAGGTAATGCGGAGCTAGGTCTTCCTTCTGGAGTAACTTTGGGCTATGAAGAAGATGGATGGCAAGGGGCAAGGCTGAGGGCAGGGGGGCCGCTTAGGGTGTGGGGTTGCCCATCAGCAAGCAGCGAGCTGGAATTAGGGCTTGTGCCAGAACGGAGGCACTAGGGACAGCAAGGGCACAGGTGCACGCACACCTAGGGAGCCAGCCATCCCTGGAGGCGCTGTCCTGAATGAAGGGGCTTAACAGAGGCTAACACTCCAGGGCCACCCAGGCAGTAAGCCCCCTGCACAACTAGCATGGCCTCAGACAACCGGTCTGGGAGGGGGTGAAAGGGCAGGGCAGGGGCTGCTGACTTTGGTGTCCCCTGCTGGGGGCCTATGGCCACAGAGGTCTGGGCTTTGGCTAAAGAACCTGAACTGCCCCCCCCCAGACACCTTCTCCTGGGGGTGCTCTAGGATCCCTGCACCCTGTGGCCAGAGAACGGTCTCCTCCCGTGTGCTGGGCCTTGGCCGTGGCTTCTGAGGAGGAGCTGGGGTCCCCACAGGGCCTGAGGCCACGTCCGCTGAGGGAAGGGTGCTCAGGGCCCTGGCAGGAGGGGCCACCTTCATCTCTCTCAGGTTTGGTTTTTTACAAGATTGATTTATTAACTATGATACATATCACATAAGGCCTTTTCAGTTTTTTACACCATTCCCATTGAGACGAGTACAATACTTTGTAGCAAATACATGATTTTAAAAAACAAAACCAAACAAAACCACCTCAGTCAGAGATGCCTCAGCCTTAGTTGATGGCTGACCATGCACTAATCAGGTTGGAGCCTCAAAAACCCCACAACGTGTTTAAAAAAAAAAAAAAAGGTCTGGAAATTAAGCAAACATTCCTAACACCAACTAGAGGATGTCCTGGTTAAAGCCCCTAAAATACAAAGAAATAATTGTTATACTTTCTTTACATACAGTTCTCCACTTTTGCTGCAAAACAGAAATTTAGGCACACGGCCAGACTACTAACACATTTCAATACCATTAATATGCTTTTTTTTCTCAGGAAACTCAAAATATTTGTTAATTCAACATATATAAAGATCATTTAACATGTGAAAATACAAGTACCAGAAAAATAAGCTGGCAGCAGCACTATTCCAAATTTTCAAACAAGTTTTATTCCCATACAATCCAGACATTTCCTTTTCTTTTTTATGTACACAGGGAACAGGATTCTTTTTTATGCAAACAATAACTTAGGCCCTGTCTCGACTACATGAAAGTGTAACCTGACTGCCGTGGGCACAGAGCTGGCTCCCCAGGAGGGAAGGACCCTTCCCGGCCGCGGCCCCACCACCTCGGGAGAGAATGGCCTTTCCCCCCCCACCCAGCCCCCCCCCCCCCGTCGCCAGCAGGTCCCAGGCGTGACTCGGTCCGTCCCTGTCCTTTCACCTAAGCGCAAACGAGTGGCTTGAACCTGCCAAGCAACAGGAGGGCGACTCCTCGTCCACCGTCTGCGGAGTCGGCGAGGCCCGGGAGCGAGTGCAGTGCCGGCTGTCCCCGTCCGCGGGGCACACCGCGCCCACTGCACAGGAGGACCGTGGGGCCTGGTCCCCAGCAAGTAGCCCAAGGCCCTGGGGCTTCCTTCTCTCGGCGACACAGCGGCTGGGCAGTGCCCTCAGTGGCAGCGAGACGGTGTCCGCTCCTTTCTCGGAAACTCCAAAGCAGCGTGGCTGTCCTTGCAGGAAGGGGAAGGGGGCCCAGAGGGGCAGGGTTCTCACCAACACAGCGAGCTTTTCAAGTTTCAGGGCTGAGGATGGACCGCCCTCCAGGCCTCCCCCCGAGACCAGGGGACCAGGGCCCCAGCAAAGCCAGGGGCAGGTGTGCGCTCCAGGACCCCCCTGGCCAGCGTGCGGCTCCTATGATGTCGCCCTCTGTCCACCTGGCAGAGCCCAACCAATTCTCCTAGAAGAACCACACCTGGCAGCACGAAGGCTTCCTGCCTCGCGGTAGGAAGACCAAGGTGGCAGGAGGGTGTAGAACACAGGAAACAGTGCTGTTCCTCAGCACTCCAGAACGTCAAGTGATGGGAAGAACGATGTGACGGAGCGCAGGAATAAACGTGCCGCGTGTGATCCCCAATATGCAACACAGCCAAGAATTCAGGGCGCATTCACAAGGCAAGCCGCTCAACCTTGGACCCCTTCCTCCACGGAAGCATCCGTGTCAGAGCCAGAATCAGCCTTCCGCTCACAACCAAGGGCTGTTCATTTCCACCAAACATGGCAACTATTCTCTTGCGGATGTGGAACATGGGCCAGGGAGAGAGCTCCCGGGCAAACCACTACTTAGTCCTGTCACCTCTGCTGACCCGCTCCCCCATTCTGGCCAAGGCTGACTAATGCCTGCCCTTCCCTCGATTCCAGAGCGGGAGAATCATCATGAAAGCACTCTTCGGGGCTTCACACGCTGGATGGACTCGAGGGGTGGGTAGCATTCCATTTACGGCAGCACGTCCCAACACATGCCCCGGCTTGCCTCTGTGGCTCCCGTCCAAGTGCCCATTCGGTCTGGGTGTGAACCCCCGGCCCAGGGCCCCCAACTACCACGAAGGGCAATGCCAACCCAGAATGACAAGAGAGACAGCCCCCAGTCCGAGTCAGTCTGGAGAAGCAGAAAACTAGAAGCTAGACTTGACAGAAGAAATGGAAACAAGAGAAACCCCTGGCGCTTCCTGCCCCCGGTGGCTCTTCCGGGGCATGAGCCATCAGGTCCCTCCTGTGCATCCTTTAAGCCCCGGCAGGACACCGGGCACAGCCAGGTGAAGGGGCTCCTGCGGCTCCCCGAGCTGGCTGGCAGGGGGTGCTGTTGGCCCAGAGGCTACCCCGGAAAAGCCCGGCTCCTGCCACTTCCATGAGGGAAAGGACACAAAGCCGCTGTCCCTTGTTGGTAAGCCACCCCTGCCCACACACCCAGAAAAGTCACCATCTCTCTGTACGTCTGTACAGTCTCAGGGATGCGGGGAGCTTAGGGGCTTGGCCAGTTCCTGGGGCACAGCCCAGGCATGCAGGTGGTGGTGGTAGGGTGGCAAAGGAGGCGGCGGAGGAAACTGGTTAACGGGGGTGGTGGGAGGGGGACCGGGCTACTTTTCAGTTCACACAAGGGATGGTGGTCCCAGACCACCCCCACCCAATCCCTGAGGGGCTGCCTCGGAGTGGGTAGGTGAGCATGATCTAGAAAAAGGGAGATTCGTTCAATGGAGTGATTTCCTCACCTGCCCGGGACTCCGAGCAGAGGGGGCTGGAGAGCCAGGACTGCGGGTCTGCCAACCGGTCACAACCCCACCCGTCACCTTCCTGCCAACCCTGACCTCGAGCATTGGGCACAGAGCCACCACAGAAGAGATCCCTCACCCAACATTTACATCAACGTTCATGTACCTTAGGTTTGTTTTTTGACTAGTGTTCTTAAAAAGAGGTGGTAAAACTTGCAGGGATAGTTTTCCAAGCACCTTATCTTGCCGAACAAGAACTATTAACAGTTAAGGTATCCAGCTTATCCAGAGGAAGAAGTCAGCGAGCGCAGGGCCTACCCGACCCTCCAACAGCCGACAGCCAGGGTCTGGGGCTCGAGGCTGTCCCAAGCGAGGCAGCTGTCAGGCCACCCGGCTGAGGGGACCCAGGGCATCGTAGAACCTACCACAGGCGTTGCTTCTTAAAGTGCAAAGAGACCTGGAGGCTGCGTGGCCTGCAGGGCCCCGAAGCCCACGGCACCTCCGTGTCAGGCTTCCCAGTCGCAGAGGCCATGGCCCGGCCACGAGGAGTGGGAGGGCAGCCAGTATCTGTAGCAGCCTTAGCAGAATCGCTGTGTTTGGGGGACAGAAGGTGGGGCATGCGAAGGGTTCTCCAGGGGTCAGGGGGAAGGCGAGGAAGCCGAGGCGAAGGCCACTTCCCAGGAAGGGCTAGGGAGGGCCACAGGCTGTGTGGGTGACAGGCAGGCACGGCACCCTCGTGACTCTGACAGATTGTGACTTTTGCCCCTCCAGGCCCTCCTAGTCCTGGGAGCACAAAGGTTGTCCCTGTGCAGGAACGGGCCAACCACACTTCTCCACACATCGCCCACTTCCCATGAACACCCCTGGGCCAGTGGTGTTCTGTGGCCCAGAATGAAAATGACTCCACTCCCTACAGCACACAAACTAAACCAAACCCCAGGTACACCCACCGTCCCCCCAGCTGTGCCCTCTCGAAAAGGCATACCCCCACGTGCACAAGCACTCACGCACGCACACACCCACACACACCCAGGCGCACACAAGAGTAGTGTTCCCACAGCACTGTAGTGTCTTCCAAAGCAGACCAGGATCCAGGCTGGTCTCCCCAAGCTCTTCCCACCAAGGGCTTAAACTGTCTTCTTGGGGAAAGGGGATCTGGTGACAGGCTTTAAGCGGGACCCCAACAGCTTCTCTGGCCACCACCCTTGGGCATCCTGGTTTCCCTGTGACCACCTGCTTGCTTCTCCGAGAGGTGGGAGGAGGGGTGGATCTTGAGGTCTGCAGTGTCTTCCTCTTTCTTTTGTAAGTTACTGGGGATTTTTTTCCATGTTCCTTCCAGTGTTCTTTGTTTTAAAGGGACTGTATCCCCAAAGCCTGTGAAGTGGGAGGGGGCATGTGGGAAGCGGAGAGGAAGCCACACACTCGTGGTCCAGGCACACAGCCACCCTCGCTGCTCTGACCTGCCGGGCCAGCACCCTCAGCACTGTACCTTGGGTTGACAGAGCTGTGGCCTGGGTGTTCCCGGGGAGGCTGCTGGACAGGGGCTCACCTAACGGGGGTGGGGGTGCAGATATGGAAGGTGGGAAGAGACGGATGAAACGGACGGGAATTGTTCTCTGCGGGGGCTGCCGGCCTCACCCTGGGGCGGCCCAAATCTCGGAGCCTCCTCCCGTTGGCAGAGGCCGGGGCTCTGTCCAAGCAGCGGGTGGATGCCCCGAGGTTGGTATGCGGGGGCAGGTGGGGCAGATGGTCTGGGGAGCAGTGAGCGTGCGGAGGGCCGCGGGGGCCACTGCCTGGCCAGTGCAGGCCTCAAAAGGGTCCAAGTCAAAGGGCAGGGTGCCCCCTGATGGCTGCGAACAGCTCTAGGTCTGCAGCGCCGGGCTCAGGGGGCCTGACAGCCCAGCCCACGGCAGACTGGGCCTGGTGCTGGCGCTGAGGTCTTGAGAAGGTTAACAGGGGAGAGGGGACACTCTCCCCACCCCTACCCCAGTGGACCTGGTTTTGTTCAAGACCAAACGCCACCCCGTGGAAGAGAGAAGGTCTCCTTTTGCCCCAGGCCTTGGTGGCTCACAGCGTGTGTTCTGCTTGAAGCTGGGAGGGGAGCAGGGCCTGCATGGGGGACTGGGGGGTGGGCGGAGGGGATTGGGGGGGTGATGGCTGACTCGTGACAGGTGTGGAGGTGAGGAAGGGGACGGTGGAAGCCACGGCAGAGGGGGAGCTGGGCGTGGCACCAGGAGGCTCACTGATGGGCCGATTGTGGAAGAAGAAGGGGCACTGTTGGATGAAGAGCTCAATGATTGTCTGGTAGGTCCTCGTGGCCGTGAGGGCGTCCATGGTGCTGAAGTCGGGTCTCATCAAGGTGGGCCAGAAGCAGATGGAAAGGTTCTCACTGGTCATGAGATTCACCTTGTTGTTGTGGCTGACTCTGTGGGGGACACCAAACTCATGGTCAGAGCACCTTGGATGAGGCTCTCCGCCAGCAGGGCCCCTGCCCTGCCCCCTGTGTGCTCATGGTCACCGTCACCCCAGCTGCTCTCCCACAACCTGAAAACAGAAAAGGCCCAAGTACAGCTGTCTGTGGCCTAGCCTGGAAGTCGACACCTGAGACCCTGTGTGGCCAGCGCTCTGCTCCCGTGTCACCACTGGGTCAGCCCCTGAGGGGTGGCTCTGGGGTCCTGGCTCATGGGATGCCCTCCACAAACCCCACGGGTAGACGGTCTGCCTCAGGGACTCTCGTCCAGACACCAGGGTGTGTGACGCTGCTCTGGCTGAATAGAGAGGGAGTGTGCACATCCTGAGCTGGAACTCCATAAAACACCACTCTGCCAAGAGAGGAACAGGTTCGCCTGGAAAACCAACCTATTCTGTCTGTGAAGAAATCCGGGAAACAGTCTGCTGACAGACTTCCTGCCCGCAGCTCCTGCACTCACTTGACAGGTTAAGTTTCTTCACAGCACCCCCATCTTGCTCAGTGTTTTGTCACACACGGAGAGGACTCTGGGCATGCTCAGGGCCGCCTGGGCCTCTCAGATAGAACCAGGATTGGCAATGTGAGGAGCCAGGAGGCCAGGATACTCCTCGGTGAGCCAGATGTGCGCCCACTGAGGAGGTGCACCAGCAGCCCCTGGCAGGCTGGGCTGGGCCTGGCTGCCAGGCTGAGAACACGGCCTGGTCCATCATTCTGCTGCTAGCTGGCCCTAACTGGCAATTTCAGGAGGAGGGAAGACCAAATAGCAAGCCCTGCAACATACTTGTTCAGGTGAGAGATGACATATTTGAAGACTTCATGGTTTTCCTTTGGAAATTTCTTGAGTACCTCCTTAAGGGCATGTAACTTCTGCTCCCGGTCATTGATTTCTGAGGAAAGAGAAAACCAAAGTCTTTCGTGGCCATGGCTGGTGGCTTACGGGCTCAAGACAAATACTGGTCCTGGGCAGGTGGTGAGACTAGCGGGCTGAGGGCCACCTCAGGGCACACACCGCCCAGGGCTTTCAGACAAGGTCAACCCCAGTCTTTCCCCCAAAAGCCTCTGCCCAAGGCAGGCACACCTGGCGGTGGCACCGACCCAAAAGCCAGGCCTACCTCTGGGTCCCAGGCCCTTGCTGAAGGGGAGCACTGTGTGCCTGGGGCTTCCTGGCCCCCACTATCCGAGACTCAAGGATCCACAGAGACACCACCATAAAGAACACCATTCTTTGCTCATCCGGTTGCCCCTGGAGACAGGCATCCCAATGCAGAAAGCCTGCATGCTTCCTGACCAGACGGGTGAGCGCTGCCACCCACCCACGCCAACAGACTGTCTAGGGAGGGAGTTTGTCACAAGACCAGGGCTCTGTCCTTTTCCTAGAGACACAAGGACCCTCTACACAACTCCCTATTGGAGGAGCTGATGGAAACAGTGGGGGAATTCTCAGGCAGTTCATCAAAGGCACTATGCACCCCCTTCCCCCATTACCGCCCACACTTTGCCCATCATGGAATCCTAATGCAGTGGGAGTGGGAATACAAGCCAACTCGAACAAGTGCTCATCCGCACCAGTCCTGGTTCAGTTAGTCGTCGGCGTCCTATGAGGCAGGGGCTTGTCAGGCCACTGAGGGATAAGGAAGGTGAGGCCCAGAAAGGCTGCAGAGCTTGGGAACCAGACCCCACTGACTGGCTGCAGAACCTGAGTGGGGCCCATTGTGCTTGCTCCCTGGGGTCCCGGCTGCCCTTTCTTGAATACGCTTGGCTTGCCTTGGCTGGGAGAGCCAGCCCAGATTTCTCTGAGCATGAAAGACCTCCTTATGACTACTTCTAAGAGCTGAAGGTGACACCTAGGACCCAGAAAAACCACAGTCGGATCCAGGAAGAGATAACAACTACCCCTCACTTAGGGTTGTGGGGGTGGGTGAATGGCTAAAAAAATATGATGGCTCCTGACTGTTGTGGGGGCACAGACTCCTTTGCGATGGATGTAAGCTCTGGAGCCTCTCCTCAAACACGCCATGCACAACTCTGTCTACAATTTCTGGAGGCTCGCGGGTTCCCCAAAACTCATCGTATTCCTTAGGAAGCCTCTGGCCTCCACGTTAAGAACCTCTGCAGCAGGTGACGTGCCCCCAGAGTCATGGTCCAGGGAGGCGCAGGAGGAGCCTGGCTCAAGCTAGACTGGGAAGGACAGGCGGAGTGTGCACCGCGGGGAAGGGACGGCAAGGTGCAGGGGGGTAAGGCCGTGCGTGCAGCGGGTCAGAGCCCAAACCCAACCCCCGCGGTCCTGGGTTCAAATCCTGTCTCTGACACCAGGCAGCCGTGTGAGTGTGGGTGAGTGACACCTGTGAGCGTGCACCCCTTGTCTGTACGAGGGGCTGACGATGGTGATGCTGCACGGTGAGATGCAGACACACAGTCAGCACCTGGAGGCAGTCTGAGGGGCAGGAAGCAGTGGAAAGGAAGGCCGCAAGGATGGACAGGGCTGGAGTGACCCAGAGCTTTTGCCAGCAGGCTCACAGGCATGGAACCCGGTGAATCTTTTGACTCAACTGTGGGACTTCATAAAAATCGTGTTTCCGTAACAGCTGTCTGGTAGAAAATGACTGAAAGGCCACAGGAACTAATTGTGTGGGGCCATTATCACCCTCAGGGCTCTCCACCCAAGCTTTAAGGGTTCAACTTCAAGAGTACACTTTCTCTCTGGCTTTGAGTTTCAAAAATCTTTCCTGTTAAGCTTCAGTACAAAGTTTACTTAAAACAAGTACATTGCTCTCATCAGCAGGAGTGACTGTCTTGACACCTGAGAAGCATGTGCGGGGCTCAGAATCCCCCCCACAGAATCATCACACCCTCTCCCAGACGCGAGTTTGGTACAGGTCTCTCCTGGGCGCCCGTGGTGCGCCACCAACGCAGCTGTGTGTTTCCACTGGGCACCTGACCCCTGGGGCACCTGCACCCAAGAGCAGGCCTCACCCGTGCTCCTGGCTAGAGGCAGGAAGCGGGGCTGGCAATGACGGGGGCCTGTCCTCCACTGAGCGACAAGTATGCTTGCTGCCTCTGTCTTCCTTGGGAAGAGGAGCACGCAGAGGTGGGAGTACCGGGACTCGTGTGCTGTCCTTGGGAATGCCAGCCTCCCTCCCCACGTAGCGTGGCAGCGAGGTGCTCAGCAAGGACCTAGATGGCCCCTCTCCTTGTGCTTCCCTGCTCCCTTCCTCCAGCCGGCTTTGAGGCGCAGGTGCTCCTGAGTGCTGAGGAGCACTGAGTCTGGCAGGAGGAGGAGGAGAAGGGAGGAAGAACATCAAGGAGAGCAACAGAAGCCTCTCAGTGCAGAGCCCAGCCTTCCCTCTGTCTCATGAAAAACACGGCCCATCTTGCTGACTTGACCTCACTCGCCTCCTCCCTCAAGCAAAGGAACCTTCTCTCGGGTACTCAGGACGCCACTGATTTCTTACCTCTGGACAGTGCCAGAGTGCTAATGGGACAACTTCAGAGTCGCTCTTTGTGTAGCCCTCACCACACGGGGCTCCTCCTACATGCTGGTTGAGAAAACCAAGAGGCAGCGCCACAGACAGAAGACTGGTGAGGGGGAGGGTGGGTGGGCACAGGCCGTCTCCCAGTCCGGCATGCCTGCTCTGGGTCCCCGGCCTCCTGCCACGCTGCGGGGCTCCCCCAGTGATCCTCTCTGAAGGAAAAGGTGGGATGGCGAGGGCACCTCTGCAGGGCCAGGGCCTCCCCAGCTCACACCCCATACTTGTGAAATTCGGTCTCAGGTTCCTGAGAGGCATTTTCAGGCCAGCCGAACCAAGACAAAATCTGGACACAGACCAGACGACTGAGAACTCATTGAGAACTAACAAATACCCCAAGAACTCAGGAGGAAGCAGAGGCCACGGCTTAGGGGTTAGCCCGCCACACTCCTCACAGCACAGAGATCAAGTGTAGCTCCAGGAAGTAAGAGTACTGGTCCAAGGTCACACAAGTTGCTGTCAGGGTTCTTGATCCCAAACACTGTTCTTGCCCTGGCTAGGGCACTCTTCTGCTGCCACCTTTAGCCCAGGCCATCAGACTCTAGGCTGGGATTTGCTGCCACCAAACTCAGAGCCTGGAGGAAAATCTCTGATGGCCTTTGACCATCTCGCACACCTGCAGCAGCAGAAAAGGAAAAGCCTGGCTCAAGGCCCTCTCACCCTCTCAGTGATGCGCATGCAGGCACTCACGGCATGCCACCCCCACCTCTCCCTCAGGTGCAAAACGAAGCCGAGGCCGAGATTTCACTCTTGGGCCTGGACTGGAAGATTCTGGGTGTCTTTCTGCAGGAGGCATGACCTTGCAGTCACCTGTCCGGTGCTTCCCAACCCATCAGATGAAGCAGGGACTACACAGTCATCTGTCCATGCCATCTGCCCGGTCCTACACAGGGCCTGGCACGTGCCAGGATGTGAGTGAGGAACACCCCTGGGACCTGATGCAGTTATCTCGACAGACAAGAGGAAGCAGAATCCCAGAATTACTTTATCATCTCTAGCTGTAAGGCATCCCAGCTCTCGATGGGAATGGTAAGATGGTGAGCCAGTATCCTGAACCACTTGGGGCACATATCCCTTTGACAAGCTGATGAAAGCTACTGGTCTTCTCTGTAGACTAAACTGTGCATATGGAGCTTTATAAGCAGTTATGGGGCTAATGAGGGCCTGGAGCCAAAGGTCCTTAGGCTCAGGACATCTGTGCAAAGACTGAGCTGGCTCTAGGAACCCTCTGGCACAAAAGACAGGACGGGGCCTGCGGGGGACTGGCTGGACTGGTGGGATTCCACATCGGTGGTGGTGGGGTTAGGGGTGTCGTGAGAGGAGAAAGAGAAGACGCGGGGCAAGAATAAATGATCACAGGTGGTCAAGGCCAGGGTGAGGTGTGTGGGTGAGAAAGAACAGGGAACAACTCAAAGCCCTTTTCTCTGCCTCCTGAAATCCTGGTCCTCCTTGAGGCCACAGCCCAGGCGCCACCTCTTCCATGAAGCCCTCGACCCTAGGCCCTCTCACTGCATTTTCCGCACTTCTAGCTCAGCTGGCTTCATTCTGTCTGGCAGGTAACTAGAGCACGTGCCCCGGGAGGGCAGGGACAGTGTCTGTGCACAGAAGGTCAAGCCCCAGCATGCCACTCCCTAAGCTGTATGGGCGGCGGCCACTGCTGCTACCTCTGAATCACACACACATCACCTTGAGTACGGTGGGAAGATAACTGGTGAATAATCACAAGAATCTCTATTTGTGGGCCTATTTTCAGCAATGTTCAATATTGTGAAATTCTGGAGCTAACAAAACAATTTGATAGTGACCTTGATATTTGTTGTGATGGGATCTGAAACCATTTCCAAGCCCTGAACACACACAGACACAACAGCTCTTAGGTATTAAGTGGGAAGAGCTGGTCAAGTTGATGTTGCCATGGAAACCCAGCCAGGCTGAGAATACCTACTTTTGGGCTTGAGAATCTTCGTTTCATAATGTCCCTTAACACTAACGCTGGTCCTGCCTGGTTGGTGTCCCTGGCTCAGTGAGACCCACCCCAGGACATGCACAGCCCCAGTGGCCTGGGAAGGTGCCCAGTCAGCGAGATCCTCCCCCCCGCCCCCCACCTTCCGCCCACCCCCAGGTTCAAGACAACGGAGCCCCAGCTGAGGAGCTCCAGCTGACTAGCTGGGGGCACAGGAAACACACAATGGGAAGAGGAAGCAGAAATCTCCACCCTTTTCCAGGCTGCAGGAGCGGCAAGAAGCTCCCTTCCTCGGCAGTGGAAGCCAGGGACGCTGCTGTAGGAAGGGCAGCTGATTCCCTATCAGCAACACCTCCCTCCCCTGCCCCCCCATGCCCCTCCCCCAAAAAAACCCCCAAAAGATGCTATGTCAGCAGTTCCTGCAGAAACAATGGGATTCTGTCGGGAGTCAGGACCCTACGAGCCTCTAGATGGCGCCAAGTCAAGACAGCCGCTGACAGGAATCCTCCCGCCTGGAGCGCTGGAGCACCAGCCCACACCTTTTCTTCCTAACTTCCGCCCAGAGGGGAGCTTAGGTGGAAAGCAAGCTGGCTCCAGATGGAGAGTTCCTATGCGTTTCACATCTAGGCCAGCCTGGAGCCTGCTGGACGAGGCACCGCTGGGAGGGCTCTATCTTTGGACAGCAGGTGCGGTGCAGAAGGCTGCACTCATCCCCACCCAGCCTCTGGAGAAACCCGGACTCCTGCTGGGAAAGAAGGCCAGGCAACCCGATGGATGATCGAGCCAGAGCTCTGCGCTTCCGCTCCATCCCTGATGGGCTCAGATAAGCTCAGGAGCAGTTCAGGGGCTGTGAGAGATTTCGCTCTGCCAAGACCACGGGGATAAAGTATGGCAAAGGTGGTACCCAGCCTGCAGAAACAAGCATCATGGGAAATGCAGACCAGGAAAAGGTGACTCCGGGGGCCCCGCAATCCCAGCAGCAGCCAGGTTCTGACAGGGGTGCCTCCACAGTTCCGGCTGGGCTGCTGTCGGTAACCCCATTTCCCAAAGTCCCAAAAAGCCCGTGATCCAAGACTTAAAACCCTGATTTGTGATTTCCCCCAAACTGCTGCCCACACCATCAGCCTTGTGAGTAAATCATGCTGGCTCAAAACTCCCTCTTTTGAGTTGGGCAATGATGAGATGAGACTAAGGTCCTATAGTCTAAGGAACACAGTCCCCCGCCCCCATCCCCCCCACCCCCCGTCACTGGCCAAGACCCTCCCTTCTGCAGCTGCACAGCAACGGCTCCTTCTGGGGGTCTTGGCCCACGAGGCTTGCAAAGCAGGAAGGCCGCCTTGGACTAAAAAAGGGAAAAAGTGCCACAAGGTGGAAAGCTGCAGCACAGCACCAAGTCCGGGAAAGGCTGCCTGCTGGGAAGACTCCCAATACTGTGGACAGGCGTCTCCCGAGACGGGCAGGTCGGGGGCGGAAACAGCTGTTGGGGCCGGCAGGATGGCACAAAAAGGTCGCCAGTATAACCAGAGGTGCTACCTTGCTACAGCCCCCAGTGAGCATCTGGTCAGGGCAATGCAAGCTGTCCCTTTTCCTCCAGAGACCCAGACCACACGCTGACTTCCTTGTAAGAGAGATGGGTGAGTGGAGGGGAGAAGAAAGGCCTGTTACAGCCCTGCCTCTAGAGCTCTCTTAATCTTTCATAAATAGGAGGAGGGACAGTGTCGTAGGAAACCAAGGGTCAGGGAAGGCTGTGCGGGCCACGCTTCCACTGTGGACAAGCAAAGGAGCAGGGATGTGACTCAAGTCTGATACAAATCCAGGCTCTTAACTCACAGAGTTTTGGGGGAACCTGCAACTTCCTTGACAGAACCCTTAGAAAAGCCCCTCTGGTCTACAAAGGCAGGGGCCTGATCTGCAAGCCCCTCTGTCCTTCCAACCCCGGCTCTAAGAGCCAGAGTGGCTGCTCCCTCAGAGCAGGACCCATTCTCATGGTGCTGCAACCCCTCCCCCCCAGTTCAGCCAACACAGCCCGGGGTGCTGCCTGCACCCGGGAGCCGGGCCGGGTTGCCAGTACTCACTGTGAGCCTCCACCAGATCAATCTGCATGTTGTACGGGACCAGGGGGTCTGGCAGCTCTGAGAAAAAGCTCTTCATGGCACCAGCCACGGTATTCACTGTAAAGTCTTTCTCTGCCAAGTCCAGGTTGTGGTCTGAAAGGAAGTTGGGAGAATGAGGGCAATATAAGCTGGAGACAAGCAAAAGGAAAACTCAGTGCTTGGGGGAAGTCAGAGAAACCTCGAAGACCCTGGGATGCTGCCCAGGGGTGGCCTGGAGCCAGGGCAGGGACTCGGGATTTTCACAGACAGAACGGGAGGTGGCATCCCTGGGTACTGCTAAAAAAAAAAAAAAAAATTGTGAGATCTGCAGACAGAGGCTGACACCCCATGCCTCCTTCCAAGGTCATCCTTTGAACAGAGCAACTGCACCCTGTCATTCTGTGCCACCCAATCCCCTTGTCTGGCTGGGATGTGGTGCTACCTTTTCCATATACCCTCCCCTCTGGAAAAAAAACAAAAGACTTTCCTAAAAGGTTGGCTCACTTTTCATGGTGGGTTACAGAACATTACCAACAATCCTGACTGCTGCCTCCATCCTTGTTCCTTAAAGCGGCAGGGGGGAAAAGACTCATCTTTCTCCCTCTGGCCCCTCCCAGCCTATGACACCACTGACCTCTGCGTCTTCACTTTTCTTTGAATACTGCATTCCTGATTTACAAGAAATCATCTACTGTTAGACATAAGCTGTTTCCATTTTGGGGAGATATAAACTGTTAACAGATTCTTGAATATACACAAGTACATACCCAAGTGTGCGGCTACACCCTCATTTTGACCTCATGCTTCCTATCCTGCAAGATAAACAGGTGTTTCCCTTCCCTAGTGTATGCCCTCCCCCTACTGCCAGCTAGCAGAGACTGGCCGTGGCGTCGCACAGTGCTATGGCTCCCCGGGAGCCTGCGGGTAGGGTGCCTGCTCCTGGCTGCTCTGTCCTGTAGGCCCCACGGGCTGCCTGGCTTCAGAGTCTGGCTTGGTCCCCCCAGGCCCAGCCACCCGCAGAGTTGGACCCTACTCTGATCCTCAGCTTACTTTCTGGCTGGTAACATCTGAGAACTTTTATTGCTTTGGCTCGTTTGCTTCTGGCACCAGTGGGTGTGACTTCTCATCCCGTAGTGTGCTCACTTCTAGGGCTGAGAGTTTGGTTCTCTGGCCCTAGGCCTCTGAGACCTAGCTTAGGAGACAGGAGTCCCTGCCAAGAGCCAGTCTAACTCACGAGATTTCAGCTTCAGGAGCCTGGGTCCCAATGCTCAGCTGATCATAAATGTTCCCTCGCATTGTTTCTCTTGTGTAGGGATTTGGCGAGGAGGGGAGTCATGTGTATTCCTGGGCCCTGGCAAAACAGGACCATGACCACAACCCCACTTCGTATTATGTGCCTGCAACCACCCTTGTTGGGCCCACTGCAAGGAAAGTAAGACCCCCAGAGGTGACCGAAGTGCATGCCGGGGTGACCTGGAACAGCATCAGTGGATGGTAACATGGGGGGCAGATGGCTGACGCGGGTTTGGCAGGGACGATGCTTCTGTTTGCTGATAGGGCCTGTCCCCCCCTCTTCCACATGGCAGTGTGCACACGGAGGCAAGGCTAAGTAGGGCCAAATATTTTCTCTTTCTCAGTCACCAAGCCTGGCTGTTCCGTCTGCCTTGGCCGGCTCCAGCCTCTGATGCTTGGCCAGGCTGTGGCCTTACCTTGGTCGAACTGTCTCTGCAGACTCTCCATCTCAGACTTATTCCCGCTGACCCGGTAGATGCCTTCAGTGCTCAATCCTGAGGAGAAACAAGCACGTTTCTTAGGAGCAGGGAGTGCAGAGCAGAGAACGAGGAGGGCTGGACTTGAGCAACAAGGCACCCGCCAGAGGAATAGGGTGAAGCACTCTGGACTTTCCTATGTGCTTCAACCCACTCACCCCCCATTTTCTTCTTCACTTCAATATTTAAAAATACTTTTTTGTAATGTGTAAGTGCCTCAGCTAATTTTTGTCCATATTTTGATGTACTCTTTTGAATTTTATTTTTTTTTTAAGTAGCTCCAATGTGGGGCTTGAACTCACAACCCCAAGATCAAGAGTCACATGTTCTGGGTGCCTGGGTGGCTCAGTTGGTTAAGCGACTGCCTTCGGCTCAGGTCATGATCCTGGAGTCCCAGGATCGAGTCCCGCATCGGGCTCCCTGCTCAGCAGGGAGTCTGCTTCTCCCTCTGACTTTCCTCCCTCTCATGCTCTCTCTCTACCATTCTCTCTCTCTCTCAATAAATAAATAAAAATCTTTGAAAAAAAAAAAAGAGTCACATGTTCTACCCCTGAGCCAGGCAGGCACCCCTTGAATTTTAATGTTTTTTAGAAAAATGGAGATAATACTGTGTTTTAAGCCACCCTTTTCATTTACAATGTATGTTGTGAGCTTATTCTAATCAAATATTCTTCTTTTTAAAAACATCAAAGTACGAAATAACTTTTAAAATAGTCCTATTGTGGGCGCCTGGGTGGCTCAGTTGGTTAAGCGACTGCCTTCGGCTCGGGTCATGATCCTGGAGTCCCGGGATCGAGTCCTGCATCGGGCTCCCTGCTCAGCAGGGAGTCTGCTTCTCCCTCTGACCCTCCTCCCTCTCATGCTCTCTATCTCATTCTCTCTTCTCTCTCTCAAATAAATAAATAAAACCTTTAAAAATAAAATAAAATAAAATAAAATAGTCCTGTTGTTAATCATTTAGGTTTTCCCTGTTAAAATACCCCACAATTATGTTTCTTATGTTTTCTGGATAGCTAGTAAGTTTAACAGATTCTTGGCAGTGTGTGTTTCTTACTTTGTGAATTTCCTATTCACGTTCTTGTCATTCTTTTTTTTTTTAATTTTTTTATTGTTATGTTAATCACCATATATTACATCATTAGTTTTTGATGCAGTGTTCCATGATTCATTGTTTGTTCATAACACCCAGTGCACCATGCAAAACGTGCCCTCCTCAATACCCATCACCAGGCTAACGTTCTTGTCATTCTTGTTCATTTCCCTATGAGTGGTCCCTCTCATTGTGTACTTGAAAGAGGCCTCTGAATAGTAAGGAACTATGTTAACATTACATATGTTTACATTTTGTTCCTTTTTGTTATCTGTCTTCTAATTTTGTATACTGAATTTTTTGAAGTACATAATTTAAAAATTTTAGGTTTTTAAGACCAGTTTCTTTAGATGTCCCCCTTTGTTTTTATCTTTGAACAGATCTTCCTATTCTTAGAGCAGGTCCTCTCTATTTCTTCTTTCTTGTTCTTTTATTACCCTTCCCCCCCCACCCCCCAAGCTCTCTGATCCTTCTGTAACCGATTTAGTATACAGTGTCAGCTAAGGAAAAAAATAATACTTAAAAACAATACTAAAATTTAGTTAAATAATACAGAAGAATATAAAGTATCAGGTGAGAGACTGACCCCCCCCTTCACCCCTCACCCCAGGAAGCACTGCTCAGCCTGGAGTGGATTCCAGTCACTGGCTACTGACCCCCCTCTTCTCCCTGTCTCAGGGAAGGAAAGCCCACTGCTGCACCCCTAAGATCACAGTTCTAAAGGATGATGAAGTCACGGTGAAGACCAGAGTGGGATCTCATGGCTAAACCAACCCTGGCCCCTTTTGAAGACTGTGGTTTCAAGCAACTCTGCTTAGCCGAAAGGGCACTGAGGGCATGCCCGGGAGCCAACACCAAACACCAGAAGGCAGTGTGGGCAGCGGAGAGAGGACCGGGCCAAAAGGCGATCAGTAAGCTCCAGAGAGCCAAGTGTCTCAACGTCAGTTATCACTGTGATTAGCGCCTCTGAAGAGGCACCCATCAGGCAAGATCAAAGCAGTCGGCCTATTTCTGGGGCCCCAGAAGAGTGGCAGGTGAACCTTTAAAGAACATCGAAGCCAAAGTCATCAATTCTCTGGCTTAAAAGGTGTTAACTGCACATGGGCCTTTCACCCCCGCGAAAAGGGGGTTTCTTAAGAGGCCAGCCCCAAGGAAGGACATCTTACTGTGCAATGCCTAGCTACAAGGGAGCTGCCCTCACTGCATTTGGAGGGAGGGTGAAGTGCATACCCTTGCCAGACCTGAGGCCCCAGATGCACCCTGTGCCCCTTCGGAGTCCACATTTCCTGAGTGTCTCTAGGCCGTGCACTGAGCTAGGCGCTTTCCCACATCCACCTACCACTCACTCACTTATTGAAGCCTCAGCCCCGTTTGGGAGCAGCTCCAGGATAGAAAGGACGTGGGTGAGACAAGTGAGGATCCGAAAGGCGAAACCCTTGCCCCAAACCACAAGGATGTTAAAGTCTAAGTCCAGGGCCTCTGCCGCTCTTGCTCCTCAGTGCTGTTCTGGAACATGTCTGACATCTGGCCAACAGGTTGGGGTCTGGACCACAGGCTTCCCCCCAGAAGAAATGCCAGGCTTGGGAGAAGCCCACGGGCCTGCAGCATCCTGGGGTGCTTTTGAGATGGCACATCTGCTGCTGCTCTCAATGCCCAAAGGTCAGAGGTCAGGGATGGGCCTAGTAGTTTTACGATGGTCTCTCTTCTCAGTGACTTTCCCAAACTGTCTCAGACATACTTAAATTTCCTACCTATTGCACATCCCAGGTAACATGTATCATACACTTAACACACAAAATCATCCCCATTTCGACAAGCCCTGGCTGGGTAGGTGTCAGCGGGCACAAGGCTTCACCCCCCAGGCTGGAAATACACCTATTTTCTCTACCTAGCCTTCCTTATCTGAGTATCAGTCCCCTCTGGCACTAAGACAACAAAGGCACAAATGGCAGGAGCTTAAGAAGTCCTCGAGAATGTAGCAATGGCCGCAGCACCTGAGCCCCAGTGTGGAGAGACCCTGTGTGAACAGCAGAAGAAAGACCCTGACAGCCTCCTTTCACGAACATTCGCCATCCTTTGGCAACTCTGACCTGCAGCTTGGAGAGGAGTCCTCTGCATGGTCTCCTCGTGGCCACCTGCCCCAGCAGCACCAGAGGGCAGAAAACAAGGTGCAAATCAGCTCTCTGGAAATGATCCGAGGCGTGGGCCCGCTGAAACCTCACTAGATGGATGATCACGAGAGTAGAAGCGTTTAAAAGCGCAAGGCGAGCTCCACGGCATCAATTAATCATCAACTTAGTATTTCCTGTAATCAGGACACATGTTTATTTTGCGAAATCCCATTTTAAAAATAGCAATTCTGCTGCTGCCCTATGCAACACCACGGCATAATTCAGGAAAGGTATCATTTGCTAGGCCAGTACCATTTCTCACAGCTACTAATCAGACACCAATTAAATAAAAACAAAACCTTACAGCCCACTGCAAACACCACGAAGGCTGCTACTGAAGCAGGGCAGAGGGCAACGACACAGCTGAGAGCGAGGGCGCCTGACAGAGCCAGCCTGGCCTCCCAGGGCTGCGCACGCTGGGACCCACACAGATGCACACTCCAGCGTCGACTCTGGCTCCCGCCTGCCAGCATAAAGCAAAGGCCTCACCAGCAGCGCCCTTGCCCCCCGACTGCACGTCCATCCCAGGCCCCCAAGTCCACTTGAGAAGCTTCAGCCTCATCTCTGAGGCATCTCTACACACCAGAAATCTCCAAAGACCTGCTACCAAAGCAGAGCCTCGGCTCTAGGCCTTTTTTTTTTCCCTTTCCTTTTTTCAAAAGCCCTATCTGAAAAAGCCCTTCAAAATCTTCTGTGTTAAAGTTAATCTTTGGGAATGCAACAAGAGAAAAGTTCAGCAAGGCCAAGGTCACTCTCTTCAAATACCTGAACAACTGCCATGTAGAACAGTCTTGTTCCAATGACTCTAGAGAACAGGGCCGAGACTAAGAAAGGAAACTGCAGGAAGGGAAGAGTTCTCTCACTATGTGAATAATCAGTAGCTACCACTGGCACTCGGCATCGGCCAGATCTTCTCAACTCCCCTTCACTGGACAGCCATTTGTCAAGGGTTGCTGTTTAAAAATATCAATACCTGGTCTAGGAAGATCACTAACAACGACCATCGTCAATACTTATGGAACGCTTACCACACGAGAGACACACACTGACAAGTGCTTACGACGCATTTTTACATTCGTTCTCACAACAGCCTCTTCGGAGAGGTTATTACCAACCCCATTTTACAGATGGGGCTGCAGAGACTAAGAGGCAAAGTAAGATGCACAAGGTCAGAGAGCTGAGGAACTGCGACGTAAACCCCATGTGACTGTAGAGTCTGCCTTCTTTTACTATGTTCGGAATCATCAGTTCTCAAAATTGGCCGTGCTTTGGAATCACCAGGGAGGCTTGCTACCTTAATACAGGTGCCAGGGCTCCACTGGCAGAGATTCCGGTTCTGCGTTTGGAGTGGGGCCCAAGAACAAGTACTTCCAGCACATCGCCACACACCGCTGGCCAGGGAACCAACCATACTTTTTGATAACTGCTATTCTAGAAGATGGCCCAGACTTCTAAGACCTCTGACTCCTAAATTCTATGTTCAGTAAAACTGGAAGGGGGTTCCCAGTATGGGGGAATACATACTGGGAGAAACAGATACAGGCTACTTCAGAAACAAAGCATTTTCAAAAAGTACTGTAATTGCTGCTTTTTTGTAATATAAGCAAGCCCTTACTGCATTATTTAAACTTTATCCATGGCCACGTACGACTTTCATTAAATGTTAAAAAATAGTAAAGAGAGGGTGGCTGGGTGGCTCAGTCGGGTAAGTGTCTGCCTTCGGCTGAGGTCATGATCCCAGGGTCCCCCATACTGGG